CACAGATTGCGCATGTTTTTTAAGCTTGTAAAATATATAAAAGGTATAAGAAATATAATTAAAATATAATTGAAATAACTAATATGAATACTGTGGGCTTCAAGTTTATTATTATTTACAAGACTCAAAGTTCAATGTATGATATCGATATGTGCTGCTGAATAGAGCTAGTCTAGTAAATAATAAATGAGTGATGGTCTGTAAAAACCTGTAAATAGATTCACTAACCAGAAACGAAATCTGATTATTCAGTAATATATTTATTACATCATATGTTACTATTAGACGTGTAATAGAAGCGACTAGAACGGTTAGAATTGTGTATTATTTTTATGGTCAGATTCATCAGGGGTGGTTTTTTGATAGTGAATCGATTCACAGGTTTTCACGGACCGTCACTCAAATAATAAATTTGAAAGTCCGAAACACTAATTGTCCTTATATACGTATACTCTTACCTCTTTTAAACCATTTATTAAATTTTGTAATTGCGTCAATATTTTAAGCTCCATCTTGCATGATGGTATACGTGACTGTGTATATTTTCCATATCCACCTGAAATAATTCGTATTCCATCTAACCAGGTTGCTAAAACTTTATCACCGATGATTTGAATATGATCTAATCTATTAAAAGGAATCCATTCGATTACATCTTCATATTTTGTAGCCATAAGTTGGAATTCCTTAATGCAATCATCAATATCTTTATTTCCACTTGTCCATCCTTCTGTTGTTTTCTGAAGGTCGCATGTTTGGCACCAACCACGAGATGTGTTATATCGATTGCAATTTGTACATGTTCCATTCTCTTTATCTCTTTTATTATAAAATTCATCAAATACCAACATATACTCATTTGTAGCGATGTTTTGAGTTAATCCATAGACACTTTTATCCTCTAATTGACTCATCAATTGCTATATTAAATATATTAAATATCTTATAGATTATATATTATATATTATGGATTATGGATCATGCTCATACAGGTTAAACATATCTGATATAATAAAATAATTTAAACTTACTTTTAAATCATTTTGTGAGTGTGTCAATGTTTTAAGTGTAATTATGCTTGCCGACGTACGTGACTGTGTATATCTATGTTCATATTCATCTCTATGTTTATTAAAATCATATTTATAACTTAGATATCGTATTCCATCTAACCAGGTTGCTAAAACTCTATCACCAATAACTTGAATATCATCTAATCTATTAAAAGGAATCCATTCGATTATATCGTCGTATTTTGTAGCTTTAAGTTGAATTTCTTTAATACAATCATCGACATCCTTATTTCCACTTGTCCATCCTTGTGCTGTTTTCTGTGGGTCACATGTTTGACACCATGCTGGTGATGTGTTATATCGCTTGCAATTTGCACATTTTCCATTATATTTAAATCTTTTAGAACCAAATTCATCAAATACTAAAATATACTCATTTGTTGCTATGTTTTGAGTTAGACCATATACTTTAAGTTCATCATTCTTTAATTGTACATAATCTACAAACTTGTTAATAGTTAAGCATGTAAATACACAATATATTACTGTATTAATGCGTAACAATGATTAAACATTCTAACTCACTTCATTTAACGTATCTATTAAACTTTGTGTTCTAGTCAATATTTTAAGCTCCACTTTATATGAAGGTATACGTGACTGTGTATATTTTCCATATCCACCTGAAATAATTCGTATTCCATCTAACCAGTTTGCTAAAACTTTATCGCCGATGTTTTGAATATTAACTAATTTATTAAAAGGAATCCATTCGATTAAGTTATCATATTCTTTAGCTTTAAGTTGAAACTCCTTAATGCAATTGTCGATATCTTTATTTCCACTTGTCCATCCTTGTGCTGTTTTCCAAGGGTCACATGTTTGGCACCAAGCATAAGATGTGTTATATCGCTTGCAATTTGCACATGTTCCATTATGTTCATATCTCATGGAACTAAATTCATCAAATACCAACATATATTCATTTGTGATTATGTTCTGAGTTAATCCATAGACACGCATTAATTGATTTTTTAATTGCACATGATTCTTAAACTTATAAAATATATAAATAATATAGGTATAAATAATATAAGTATAAATTAAGAGTATAAATTAAATATACACACTATTAATTAATATAATCTCACTTCTTTTAAGATATTTGGATTATTTTGTGTTCTACTCAATATTTTAAGTGTAATTGAGCATGCTGGCGTACGTGACTGTGTATATTTATATTTATTGTCTACAATTTCACGTTTTACATAACATATTCCATCTAACCAAGTTGCTAAAACCTTATCTCCAACGTTTTGAATATTAACTATTCTATTAAAAGGAATCCACTCAATTACTTCTTCATATTCTTTAGTTTTAAGTTGATATTCCGTAATGCAATTGTCGATTTCCTTATTTCCACTTGTCCATTCTTGTACTATTTTCTGAGGGTCACATGTTTGGCACCAAGCGAAAGATGTGTTATATCGCTCGCAATTTGCACATTTTCCATAATATTCATTTCTTTTAGAATTAAATTCATCGACCATAATTCTGAGATGTTACTGCAAAATTAATCGTCATTTTGCATTATACGTATCATATATACATATATGATAAAATATGTAGCACAAATATTTAAGTACTTTATCATTTAGATAAACCTGATCTCATTTTATAAAACTGTATTCTTTTATGAATATGCTTTCGATCACAAAATTGAAAAGAGGTGTTTCATCATAATAACATATGAGTGACTACACAGCAAAACTATGCTTTGAGTATATGGTTTGCTGTGTACTTTCCCATATGATAAATTTATTTAATATTATATTATAGTACTTAATGGATCAAAATATCTATCGCTATAATAAAACTATATGTTATCCATGTTATTGTACCCTCATTGAAATAACCAATGAAGTTATGAACGAATTGAAGCTCAACTGTCTATGGAAGTGTTTGATAGTATCAATCTGCATCGAGTTGCGAAATAGTGAAATCTGCTATGCAATCACATGAGGGTGAAATCCACTTTTTAATAAACATAATAAAACGCGGATTTCACCCGATCTACAAAGCGGATTTCACTATTTCGCAACTCCTGTTCTATTATGATTTTTATAATACAGTGCGGGACGTCTTTAAACCAGCAAATTGAAATTTGGACGACCAATTGGGGTCATGGCGATGAATACTTTCATAATCAAATCGCAAATGTTTATCAGACAACGATATTGTTAATTATTTTATTTTATTTCAGTATCAATATGAATAGATGTTTTTATGGCTAGGGTACTCAAATTCATAATTACCTTAAATTGGTTCAAAAATTAAACGAAGGTATCTCAAGCAATTTCATAATTTAGAACATCGCAAATGGTCAGTTATTTCTGAAATATCTGTTTAAACAGATATTTCAAAAATAATTGACCATTTGTGATGTCCAAGGGAAATTTCGAATTCTATATGCTAAAACTATTAATATTCCATAGGTGATTATCATACTAAATTTTACAATTTTTACATCTACAAATTGGCACGACTAAGAGTTTTGCTCCATATTACAGTATTACCACTGGATCTTTTAAAAGTTCCGTTAGAAAGTCCTAAAATCTTATTGAAAGCAAAAATTAACAAGATTGTCTTGCCCTGACATTAATTCCAACGTTGTTATTCCCACGTGTTTTTAGTACTAATAAACCAATAAATTAACGTAAAATGCTAATCAATGTATTCGGGTATTTACAAGGACTAAGGGTGTAATAAAGTTACCATTAAGATTCGGATTTAAATGGTAATTTTTCCTTAATGATATATCTATTTTCTACTTTATATTATATCTGTAAAATAAATTGCTATTTAAGACCAAATAGATACATAATATAATTCTATTAAATGGTTAATATTTATATATTTACACTTTTGCTTATGAATATAACCTATAAACTACAGTAATGATGAAATCGAGCATACTCTCTTTAGGCTATAATTTCTTTTCCGATCTGCATTTGTAGTTTTAATGAAATAATCCGTGTACCGAATCGAATCAGATTTTGGGATAGCATTGCAACCAGAATTAATCAAGAGCATGACACGAGCTTTAATGGGTATCAATGTAAAGAAAAATTTATGAACCTTGTTCGAGATTACGATGTAAATATGGTATAGTAAGAAATTTTTCCAAATTTTTTTGCTTACATCTTAGCAAGTATAGCTAATAATTCATGTCAATTAGTTGATGTGTGATTGATTATATGTCAGGGAATCGGAGAGCACGAAGAAGTCAAACGGGTGCGCAATATTTTGATGATTTTGATAGAATTCGCAATATAAATAGTTCAAACCGTAGTTTACGTAGAATTGGAAGGAATAATACACCTGCGCCATCTACTGGGGAAGTTGAGCATGCATTAAATCAAATATCACTGCGTAATCGAAGAAGCCGAAGATCATCTATTGATAGTCGAAGACGGTCAGCATCTCAATCTCTACCCCGTGATGCAATAAACATTAATACAAACAATCCTGGTGTGGAAAGTCCTGAGAAAAATATTGGACATTCTGGTTCTATCGAAACGTCATCTCTTCAACCACCTTATGAGGCAGATGAAGCGCAAAATAATAATAATTCTTCAGAAACGAATCAGAGCCATGACAATTTTAGACACGAATTAGCTGTAATCTAATACCTGATTTGCTAAATTTAACCTTATCACAAAACGATGTTATTATGCACGATATAGGAGCTAGTCAACCACTCCTTCCTACGGAATCTATAAATGAGAAGGAGAGTTAGATTTGTCTGAAATAAATTTTACCCGAAGATTTGGTTACATTTTTGTTATGTGGATAACACCACGTGATTTTTGGCGAACTAGTCTGCTGAAATTTGCCAAGAAAAAAATAAAAATTTGTGGGACCAGATGTTCGATCAACATATATCACATGTTATATCACAGAAGGTCATGGAAAATTCTAAGTCTGAAAAACTAACTTGTGCCATATGCATTTTCTTTGTGAAAAAAAGTTCTCTTTATTTCATGTCAACTGACACCGAAATACCTATTATGTAAAGACTAACAAGTCCCCCTATCTTAATTATAGGAATATCGATATCCAAATTCGAATAGCCAGCTCGAGATATGTGCATATGTGTTGTTAACTCTGCACTCCTTATATGCTCGCCTCTTTTCAAATCTATTTTTCGAGATATCAGAAAGAGAAAATGAGGAACCGTTTAAAAGGGCATTATAATGAAGTTATTGTTATTGACACTTTATAATGATTTCATTATATCTATTTCACTTTTACTAAGGTACAATTATCAAAATGTCTAGTGCATTATACAAGAAGGTCTATGATTTTCTCACTACCTCTCTTATGGAACATATAACTGCTATTTCTGTATATACCAGGTTGTAGAAGATGAACCCTGGATTTCAAAGGAAGAATTGAGGACAATAGTGCGAAATGCTTTCAATTCTTCATTAAATATATATTCTCAAAGTATGTTGACTCAAAATAAGATTCTGCCCAGGTTAGTTATTAATTTTTTTAAAATAAGTTTTATTATAAATTGAATGATTAAGGCGCAAATATTGGTTCATCACCAAGAAAGTAAGCATAACAGTTTAAACATCCTATTAGCCGTTAGTAGGAGATATTATCCTTGGACACGTGGAAGGTGTTAATCTGTACTCATATGCAAACTTTAATGTTGTTTACTTTGATACTAAGCAAAGTCTATTGTGTGTTGATCACATGTAATGGTAACTTTGATATCATTTGACGATGCATGTGATTTTTGAATATTCAGTGTGTGAAAAAAGTCTTTGGACGACTTCACGGGTTAATAACTCAGCAACGGCCGCAGCAAATCACGTGCTCAATGGCTTATTCGAAAGCCAAAAACTTAAAATTTTATTAATAAAAATTTAAGAAAAATTTAATAATTGATACGATCCTCTTTTTTTTCAATTACAAGTTCACATCTTCTCATTGATTTAGCAAGGTTCTCCAAAACACCTTGCTGGATTTTATTTCATTCTTTCTCTATAAACTGTTCTAATTCATCTAAATTTTGCAATCATCATTTTTCAATGTTACTCTTAACAATGTTTCATAAATTTTTTATAGGATTTAGATTAGGACTATTAGAAGATCAATCTATCATTTTTGGGACATGTTTTTTCAGGAATGTCTTTACAACATGACTTGCATGTTTGAGATCATTGTTATATTAAAATTCTCAATGATTTCTAAGCATTCTTTAAACCTTAGGAAACTGGATTTCTAAGATATTAACATAAAACAGTCCATCCATTATTTCTTGGAAACAAAAAAGACTTGTTTTACTCTTACTATAGAATCTACTCCATGTCTTGATTTTTGTTTTGTCTTTTGAAATTCTTTATACAGGATGTATATCCTTATACCAATATTTTATAATATTTTTGAACAATTGAAAGGTCGTTTTATCAGAAAATACAATCCAGTTCCAAGCATGATTAAGGTATTTCCTTGCCTACTCTAAATATCTTTGAATATGTTTCATTATAAGTATTGGTATGGTTTCAACTCAATCCTTTCTATACTTAAGCTTATTTAAATAATTCAAAATAGTTTTATAGGACACTTGAACCTTCTTTTAAAATAAATTTACAGTCAACAACCTTGTAAATATTGCAAAATTTTTTTTAACTTGCTATACAAGGGTCTTAGTGATTCTGGTAGAGTTTTTTGTAAGATGACTACTGCACTTTCAATATGTCATACTTCTATTTTTTTTTAGTTTAGAAATATTGTAATATATAGTAGACTTTGAAAGATCTGTTTACTTATAGATTTGGTTTGTATTTCATATTCTTTTATCCCAAAACTATTGTATAACTTTGGCATTCACATCGTCACTAACAACCATCTTGTTTTTATTAAAAAAAAATAAGATAAACAATACTAAAATTATATTTTAGAAAAAAGAGATCAATCTGATAATCAATAAATAACTATTCTGAGTTGTGGTATATTAACCAAAAATGGACCTTTTAGAATAATTATCTTTTTGTACATGATCATCATCCAAAGATTTTTTTCATATACTGTTTATTTTCAGAAAGATCATGATCTAACTTAAAATTTTTCTATATCAGTATGATTATGTTTTTGAAGAGGTATGTAGTTTACAAGATATTGGAACAATAAAAATGATATGTTATTCAGTATATATTAATACTAAAAAAACATATTGTATTTACTAAACCTTCTCATATAAAGAATAAAAAAAAATTTTAGTTTTAAGTAAATTGATTCAGAGCTAATTAAAAAATTGCTGAAAAAATTAAAAATAGTCTTTATAGTAGATAATGATATTACTATTATATCTTATGTAGCTTAATTTCTTAACTCATTTATAGAAACCAGCTCGTAAAATAGTACCTAGCTTTTTACTACTAATTGTTTGAGAGACATGTAAAGAATTTGTATTAGATTATAATGAATGACAAAATAGAGATCTTACTAAAAAAATTGAAATATAATAAATCTTAGAAAAAAGAGAATGAAACTCTCATGGAAATTACAAAAATAATGCTTAGTATCTTGAGTGGTACATGAAATAATCTAGCATTTAGTTCAGAATTTATAGAATCACAGACTTAAGGTATTTATATAACAAATATCATTGTGTTTGTAATCTATGCTGTGTTAAAAGATCTTTTATTTGGAAAGTTCTCATATATTAGCATATAAATTATATTTTTTAGATATTATTTATTTTAAAGACAAATCTAATTGTAACAATTTGTTATACACTTATTTATAACAACTTAATTAGTATAGTTAATAAAAATAACCAAAATTCATATAACCCAAATCCTAACTCTAACTATTATTAACTAATCTGAGGTTGTAAGAATATTTATTCTTTATTTAAAAAGTATTAAATCTTATATTTATCTAGTTCAGAGAAACAAAGTATAATAAGGATGCAAATCATTAACTCTTTCCGACGATCACTTGTACCAAATTCTGCTGCAAACATTTGACTATTATTCAATATTTTAT